AAGCAGTACTGAGCAGCTTCAAAGTGCTCAAAAACGCTATGCAATTGGTGTAAGATCGCATGAGGGATCTGCAAAAGAAATGCCCTACGAGCGCCAGCATAAAACTCTCGAATCCGGCAATATCAGTGAGACTCTCGAAAAACTGCCCGCACAAGCTATTCAACGGCTCGATTCCCTCACCAAATCACTCGAACAATCGTTAGAAACAGCAGTTCAACGATCACATTCCCGCTCAAACAGCTCAATAACCAGTTCCAAGTCCCGAGGAACACGAAAAGACGCTCTCTCAGATGGGGTTGCTGGCAGAGGAAGAAAGTCAGAAACGTTTGCCACCATAGGAACAGAACCTGCGACAGGCCGAGATGAAGCCAGCAGAAGCAAACGCTCCACTGAGGGGGCAAGCTTCACAGGCGGAATGAGCGGTACACGAAGTGGCGGCTCAGCTGAAAGCAGTGAAGACACTGATGCGTCGTGTCCGGGGGACATTGAAGATATTTTCCTGGGTCGAAATGTTGAGACGAAGCGATTGCCATCCAAAAAACAATTGAATTCTCATCAATCTCGGAGATACACACCCAAATCTGGGCAATCGCAAGAATACAGAGAACGATCAAATACGAACTCATCAAGCTTGGTCGGCGAACCACCATCTCTGTTGCCTTCTTCGTTGCCAACATCACTTCTTTCCTCGTCAACTCCGTTATCCACAGATCTATCAGATAAATCATCCAAATCCAGCAACTTAGCAAAATCAAAATCCACATCGTCAGCATTCCGAAGGCAAACATCAAAATCAACAGCCAACTCTCTTTCAACGAGCAGTTCAACTGCTCCATCGAATCGCTCAAGAATATCCTACCACTACGAAATTCCGCTTAACACAGCCCCGAAACAAGCTCCGACATGTGCAGCAGAGGTGACACCGACCAATGACAAAATGCGAACCGCAGTTACGAGCGTTTCATCAAATGTCTCAAACAACGGAAGCTATTCGAGTGGTTTCAGTAGCACGAGAAACTTGAAAAGTAAACCGAAGAGTTCCTTTGGAGCACGAACATTCTCACTGAAAGCACAAAATTCAGGCAAGAGTGGGCCAACTGAAGCGATCTCGATTAGGCCACTTCAAAAGCTTTACAAGCAGAGAGCAGATTCAAGCAAACAGGGAGATGATCAAGATTCCTTCAAGAAGGGCCTGGGTCATCCAGATGGCTTTCTGAAGCAACAATCGGGTCATGCATCGTCAGTCGATTCCTCATGCACTAACATATCATCGAACATGAACACTCCGGTACAGAAGAAGAGTCAAACGTCAGCATCCAGTACCCCGCGATCGTACCGTGAAGAGCGCCGTCGGCAACGGGCCGCTTCCGGTCGAGTCTCAGCATTGCACTCTGCACTTGCAAATGATATGCCTTCGCTATTCGATGAGCACATTCAAACGTCTCGCTCACCTGGCCAGTTAACTGCTGAGAAATTACATGAGAACTCATTGAGAGCAGTGGCCTCGGATCGAAACCATCATCATTTATCGCAAGAGAGACTAGCACCTGGCGCTGGTTAGACTTTGGCTCATCGCATCTCATTTTATGAATATAGGCGATGGACTGAAGGTTTTTAAACTGAAACCTCCCTGAAATGGGATTCTAGAAACAAGAGAAACTTCATCTAACAGTTCATATGAAGATGTTCATCACAGTAGCACCTTTCAGTTATTTGTCTGGTTGTGTGAGAAATTCTGCTGAACAGCCAAACTGGCACTTTTCATACATTCGGATTAATTGCTGTGGAAGGTATGCAAAATCGCAATTCTGCATCAGCTGTTGACTAGCCATAATGTACATTTCCCATATAGTTGTGTAATTGGGCTCACATTCAAGCAGTAGTATCTAAAGACTAGTTGCTTTCAGCATCATTTTCGCAAGAGTCCGACAAAAGTGCCAAAGGGAACAGAGTAGCGGAAAAAGATACAGCAGTTGAATGCAAGATTTCCAGTGCTTCCAATAATCAGGTACAATTCACAGAACCACTGAATATTCGAAGATGAAGACCTGATCAAGTAAACCATTTCAGGATGGATTCACATGCTCAAACGATGGTGTCGCAAGCAGTGATATTCGAATCGAAGCCGTAGACGATAATGGGATGACCGTAGGTTGATCAGATTGTAGGATCGATCGGAACGACAGTTTAGACTGATGTTTCCCAATCACTTAAGAACAAATATGAGTTCACAATTATAATTTAAACTGAGATGAACCTATACATAGAGATGGCACATTTCATAACGAGTTGTTCGCTTCTCGCGATAAAAGATAATACAACTGCAAAATGATGAATCGTGCATCTTGACATTCTTTAAATTGCAGTGAGGATACTGGAATAACATATTCAACGCATTTAAGCAAAAAACATGAGACTGGATGATCGCTTAATGTTATACAGTACAATGAGATTTATCAAGAAAAAAAGGCTCAGTAGTTGCAGAATATGAAAAAGTGTGAAATAGCAAACCAACAGAACAATATACTATCTTCGATAGCGCATAACTGCAAGCATATAGAAAACAAGATCCGAAAATTGTGAATATAGCCAAATAAATGGCAACAA